TGCCATGGCACCTGGAAAGTACCTGGAAGATCAAGTTCCGATTGAAGGGATCGGGTCCTTTCTGTCTACCGAAAAAGTTCTCGGGATTCTGAACCAGCTCAGTTTGCAGGAGGATTGGGGTTGCCGTTTTTGTGAGTTAAGAGGTTTGTTCTGCAAGACTTTGGGCTGATTTCAGGTCTGCCCCGAAGCAACCTCAAACAACTAAGAAAAACCAACCAACCAACCAACCAAGCAAGCAAGCAAGCAAGCAAGCAACCAACCAACCAACCAACCAACCAACAGACCCAACCCACCCAACCCACCCACCCAACCCACCCAACCCACCCAACCCACCCAACCCACCAACCAACGAAGCGACCAAGCGACCAAGCAACCAAGCAACCAAGTGACCAAGCAACCAAGGGACCAAGCAACCAAGCAACCAAGAAACCAACCAAGCAACCAGGCAACCAGGCAACCAGGCAACCACCAACCAACCAACCAACCCAACCCAACCCAACCCAACCCAACCCAACCCAACCCAACCCAACGAAACCTAACCCAACCCAACCCAACCCAACCCAACCAACCAACCAACCAACCCTCACACCTATCAATTCTCCATCCATCCATCCCATCCACCCACCCACCCACCAATCCACCCATCCATCCGACCATCTAACCAACCGTTTTTTTGCTCTTTTTGTTTTTGTTTTTCCGCTGCCTCTCTCTCTCTCTCAGCCCAAAGCCCGCCGCCTCCAAGGCGAGGGCAGCGCCAGCGCGGAGTTGACGCTCACCACGTCCGGCCGCAGCCCCTCGAAGAGCCCCAGCCCTGCGCGCCATCCGCCGATCCGCAGCCGCGCCAAGGCCGCGTTGAAGCTGGTGAGGCTCGGGGCCTCACCCAGGGCGGCACCAACCTAGATATATATATATATGTAGATGATTACTTATCTATCAATCGATTCATAGCTCTATGTATGTGTGTATCTACATATATATATATATACACATATGTATAAGTATACATTTCTCCTCCGCCCCCCCCCCCCCCCCCACCCCCAAAGAAACAAGCTTGATGAGCCCAGGCATGTGCTTAGCAGCCTTTGCCCTGAATGGCTTGGCGCATAGTTTCCCTCGTGAACGGGCGATAAAGGTCTCGGAGCTTCGAGCTCGCGACAGTTCTGAGCTTGCGAAAGGAGAGATCTGGCCGTGGATCAACACCAATGGGATCCCATTTTGGGCTAGGTGCACCACCCATTTAGTCTATTTTGGTGGGATTGGGATGTCCTCTCCAGGCCGGTCTCCGCCACCCCAGGCTCCCTAAACAGGAAGCAACTGGAAATCAACCACAAATGGAGCGGCACATGCGGGGGGTTGCAAAATGAACGAAGGCCGCTTTTGAAAGAACGCCTAAATGGAAATCCAGCATGCTACCCAGCTGTCTGAGATGGTTTGCGAGCCAGCGTGGCTGTCTTCGCCCAATGCTATATATCCCTAGAAGTAACCTCGTGCAAACGCTTGCTTTACCATGCCTACTAAGCAAACTTGCTTACTGCCAAACCATCTAAGTATCATTCCCCGCCTTTGATCTTTGCCCCGTCGCACAACCCCTCACTGAGTCACTGGGTGCCAAATCGGCGGAAAACGCGAATGAGATGTAACCCCTGATGGATCCCTGCTAGGGTGAAACATTATGAAGGAATGTGTCTCAAAAACACTCAGGAGAAGGGACGTATCCCCAAAGATCAGTGTCATGTTGACTTCCCCCCCCCACAGCCATCCCAGCCGATCGAATTCTGTTTTGCCACCCTTTCTCTGACACCAAGGCAGACCATCCCCACGACTCGTTTGTCTTTTCAACCGTTTCCCTTCGTACCACAGAAAATGGCAACAATTCTCAGCTTGGTTGCTGTTGACCCTCTGCAAAAAGTTTCACTGTTCGTGGGCCCTTTTTTTAGAATCCCACTGTTTCAACCAAACAGTTCAAGTCCAAAGATCCGTTGCCAAATAGCCATAAAGGTCAGCAGTGGTTCAGTCCGACCATCCACAAAAGGCCTAGAACCGGATGACCTAAGACCCCATATGTCCGTGTCCCCCGAATTTGTGGTTTGGGTTGCTGGTTTGGTGGTTCAGCAGGGGACAAAGGGTTTCAAATCCCCAAACCAGCAATCCCAACCACCACCTGGGTATGGGTCAAAATTAAACCACCAGGATATGGACCACAGGTTTTGGTCCATGTTTCCACTTGCCAGGGCAACCCATTTCAGGTACCTATTACCCACCATCTCCTGACCCTATCAAGTCACTGTACAGTCTCAGACGTCTCTCATGTGTTCCGTATGCTGCACGGAAAGCCGCCTTGAAGTTGGCCCGGGCTTCAAGGCTGGAGTCTTGGAGCCCCTGAAATGGGAATGTGGGGACCCCTCTAAGGGTTCCCTGAGTATCGTCCACCTGTCACGTCGCCCTCTGTCGCCTCCAGGCCCAGCAGCTGTAGCGCCATCTTCCAGGGCACAGGCAGCGCAAGCAGCTGGTTGAAGCTCACGACGCCTGGGTCTTGGCGTTAAAAATCTAAAGACTCCCACGGGTAGCGCTAAACTCAGTTGCGTGGGTAGGTGTTGGTGGTCAAAGCGCCAGGAAAAACACCCAGGGAGCACCACGGGTAGCGCGCGTGTGTCAAACCAGGGGTGGATGCTCCTTTGCTGGCTGGTGCTCACACGAAATAACCCAGGGTTTGGGAATGAACCTAGGGATTCCCTTAAAGGAAACCATTGGGGATGGTTTATAGAAGTCATTCCAACTCATGTCCTGAGAACCAGCAAGTTCCTTAGAGGACCCACAAAATGGCCAACCGTTGTTCCTCTTGGTTTCCCTTTAAGACCACCAAACAAAGGGTACCTCACAAAAACGACAGACCTACTTTGACAGCCCAAAAGCAACCGCGTTTGGATTTTCCTTTCAACCAAGAGGTTCTTCAACTAGGTCCTCCAGTAGAAGTTAGAATAAGGCTACCCTCCTTTTTCTGTAGTCTATTTTCGTAGGGGAACCCTCCCAAAAAAGAAACGGGTGAGAAAGGGCACCTAGCTGGGGGACCTCGTCAACTTACGAGTGGTTTCAACAAACCGGGCACCGCGCCGAAACGAACCAACCACGCCCCGAACGAGCCGCCTGGCTGCTGAGTTCGCGCCCGCAGGCGCCGCAGGAGGTGCAGCCCGCGACGCCATGGCACGCCTGGGCTACAGCTAAAGCTCCGTTTGGGAGGAGGAAGAATGTGGCTACAAAGGGAAGACATAGTGACTGAAAGCCAGAGGAAAGAGACGTTGCTACAAAGAAATATGTATATATATGTATATAAATATATACATACACATATCTGTATATATATATATATATGTATATATATGTATATATATATATATATTTCCTTTTAAATAATTCATAGTGACTGAAAACCGAAAGCGACCTTGCCGCAAAAAGGGGTCCGATTCCTATTTTGAGAATAAGAAACGGAGTGCCAGGAACGGGAACTTGGTCGCGCATCCCCCCAATGGTGAGGTTGCGGTTTGATGAAATGATGCTCGCTTCCGAAGTCTCAGCATCTCAAGCACGCCATACAGCGAAGGTCTTGCCGCAGGACACTCCCTCATAGGAAAGAAGGGCACGGCTTGTAGGCTGAAAGCACAACGATCAAAGCAAACCATGCCAACAAGGAGAACGCTGCCAGTGCTGTCACAAATGCGACATATCCAAGCCAGAAGCGCACCCAGTTTCCAGTGAGAATACATGAGTGTTTTGAAGTGTTAGATCCAGCATCTCCTCAAAAAGCGCCTGGCTTCCGTTCACTGTCTCTACGAAACCCGCTAACCAGGGAGTTCTAGAAGAAGTCAGTGGGTATTTGCTGTTTTGCTGGGTTTCAAGGGACAGCCATGATATCATCCCTATAGAGTTCAACACCCAAGACTGGTTGACCCAAGTTAAATGACAAGCCTTCGGTAAACAACAATGGTGGCTATATCAACCCGCATTGCTTCAATGCGTCGAATCCCAGACTAGCTGCTTTGATTTGCCAGGGAACGGTGGCACTCGCGCGAGGCGCGCATGGCACATTGGCTCCGCTCAGACCAAAACAAAACGAATCTATGAGCCGAATTTATCACTTCCACTTGCGATTTCGCCCCCCGGAAAAAAAAGTCCAGCAGTGCGGAATCCCCTTTAGAACCGACAAGTGAAAATGACACCATATTCTCATAAGCAAATCAAAGATGAGCATCCGACCTCATCGTGGCGCTCGAAAACCTGCAGACCCCTTTCCAAGCGAAACCGAGCTGCGAGCCAAATGCGAGTGTGACCGCCATTAGCTTCCAAGGGTCAAAGTGCCACTGTCCGACGCAAACGGAATAGCGCTGCTTTTCGTTTTTTTGCAAACCTTTGTATCCTTTAAAGCAAAGGGGTGTCACTGGACAAATGAAAACTCTCATGCCTGGGCCTGTTCTGTACTCAGCTTTCGCTTCATATCGGCCGCGGATTGCTTGGGGACACGAACGGCACATGTGGAGCGAAAACACCCAAGAAAATAAGGTGGTCGTTTGCCTTTTTCTTACTTAGGTTTTAACAGGGGGACCGAAACCCCCTAAAAACTAAACACACCCAGGTATTCTTTGTAAAAACACTTGGCTCAGCTTCCGTTTGCCGCTGGGCTGTAGGGTAGGGATGCCACAGCCCGTTTTCTTTGTGCGTTTGGGTTCGTCATGGTCGTCTCGCGTGGTTTCCCTCGAACCCCCAAAAGCTGGGTGTCTCAAATGGGGAAAGCCCCGGCGATTTCCCGAAGGCTTCCCTTCAAAACAAACCGAGCAGCTCAAAAACACACACCACGCACTTCCTGAGTGGAGCCAACACAAGAAGTCTCACTTTTGTTTTGTCGCTAAAATGCTCTAAACCCAAAAGGGGTTTAAGTCCAGCAAGTCGGGGAGTGAGACCAACATGCAACCTCAAGAACGAACCTTCCAGGGTCGCTTAACGCTCTCCTCGTGTTCAGCAGCTGCAGGGCCAACGTCCAAGCCTGGCGCCCTCCGCTAAGGTTTGAACCCCCGGAGGGCGTTCCCCGAAACGCGTTTTGGTGGCCTCATTTGTTCTCCGCCTCTGATTCAAGGCTGATGGCTTCGTCATGCTAGAGTCTGCTAGAGTGCATTTGTTGATCGCATTGGTTCTTCATCTTGAATTTCAACCTTGGCTTCGGCATTTGTCCCCATAAATCGTGTGTCATAGGATTGGCGCTGAGTGCTGACCTGGGGCCTCATCCCAGGAGCCCCAGCCCAGCAGCCCAGACCAGACGCCCAGCTGCTGACATTCGGCTTGATATGTTAGGGGAGCTTGCTCGAAGGGATGGTTGTGGATGCCCTAAATATTGCAACACCCACCCCACACTCAACTCAAGCACACTCAACCCAACCACGGGATACTTGAACATGACCATGTGCGGGTTCTTTTTTCCCCTGGCGATATTCAGTTGGCCTCCATCATAAAATTTGTCGGCTCAGCTTCTACCCCTGGACTCCTGAGATTGACTGAAGGTATCTGAGGGCAACCTTCCCTTGGACTCCTAAAAGACCGACCGCATGGTCGACCTATGTTATTTCGCGAGCTCACCGATGAGCTTGGGTAAAACGAGCGAAAGCCATGAGAAAGGTCCTTTACTTCGTTTACTTGGGGTTCCAATTCTTCATTCAGCTTTTGGAAATCGCATTGTTACGTTTGAGCTCTCTTGGTGACCTTGGGGAACTGCCGGAATCATATTGTACTTCCAATGCCAGAAAACAAGGACCGCAAGCAATAACACCTCCCTGTCACAGGGTCCATTCTCACCTTACCCTCAGCTGTTTGTCCTTCAATGGCTCGCTGAAGTCTTCTGAAGTCTTTTGCCTGGATGCGTCAAAATGGTCGGGGTCACACCGCCACGGGTGAGCCTGTTCGTTTCCTTGAACATCCCCCCCAAAAAAAACGAAAGGCAGCAAGAGAAACACGCACACCATTGCCCCATAGCTCGGTTTTCAAACAACGTTAAATGGGCTGTCCGCTGTTTCCGACATCCTCAAAGGGATCTTGAAAAATGAGAGGCACCCGACTTCCGGGATGACCCCCCCCCTGGCCCGGAGTTCTCCCCTCCCCCGCGCTCCGCGCTCCGCCTCCCCAGGCACGGACGACAGCACGCTGGAGAGGAGGATGGTGTCCATTTGGCCCATGTCCACCGCCTAGCTCTGTCAACCACCCCCCCCCCCGCCCCGAGTGTCACTTCCCGGAACAAGTCACTGGACTTGAGTCACCAAATCGGTATGTGTCAAACTTGGGGGGGGGGGATGCCCAAAGCTGGTTCCTTTGGGGTTTCCGATCAAACTCACCTGAAAATGTGCCCTCAAGAAATTGCACGCACCCAAATGGGTATGGGTCTTAAAATCTTAAAGTGTTCCACCACCCTGCAGTTTTAGTCAATGCGTCCAGCTCAGGGATTCCGATCGAAATGACCCAGGCGCAAATTCCGAATCCGTCCAGCGAGCCGGGAACACGCTCTGCCGGAGTCCCCAGGTTCGGAAAACGGGCCTCCAACCTTCGACTGCAAGGCTCTGCCAGTTTTTGGGACTTGGTAGTACCTGGGGTGATCCTCCCCTTACCATGGCTATCACTCACTTGCCTGACGTGGCTTGAACACCCAAGTAAGGAACTAAAGAAGTGGAAATCTGGGGGGGTGCCTTCACAAATTCAGTTGGTGCTTCAAGGAAGCCGGGCTCCACCTAAGACTCAAAACTCAGGTGTTCTTCCTTGGAAGACACGAACCTGGCCTGGGTTGGAATCTTTCTGCGAAGCAAACAAATGTTCCGCCCGGACCAGGCGGAGACGTCCAACAAAACAAGGCCGGTTTGAAGCAGGGCTCCTTTGGGGATTCTAGGGATTCTAACCTCACGTTAGGGGTGCTGAAACTCTAATCCGCAATCCCCTAAACCCCTAAAAAAATGACAATCCGAAAGCTTGAAATCTGGTACTCCTTCCTTTTAAGGATGAAGGATTGTGTTTGATGAGCCCAGCCTTATTGGCATTGTTTCCAGCAAGTGAATCGCACCATCCCAACGATGCCTTGAGGGACAGCTGTGCAATGGTTTGCACTTCACTGGTGTTCAACCGTGGTCCCCCTATGCTTGTCCCATATCTAAGCAATTACACATATCATTATCCTAGTGTCATGAGGACCCTCAGTTGCATGAGTTGGCTTTGATTGCTCCTTTAATACTTATTTTTTTACAACGATTTACAGTTGGGTGAAAGTAGATGATAAGTTTTTCCTCATGGTTTCATCATCCTCGCCGACTTTCACCCTGGCACCCTCCAAGTTGCCCCGGTCACGTGCAATGGTAGTCTGGGCTCAAAGTCAACCCTGTTGGCATTTTATTCCAAATGGCAGTGGTTTACCCTGTTGTGGTGTCCCGCTGTGGAATACGGACGAGGGATGCGACTATGAGTTAGTGAGTGGAAGGGTAACTCCTGGGTTTTGCTTTGCCAAATGGGGGCTTTTGCCCTGCACAACAAAACCACACATCCCATTCAAGAGCCGCTCTCAAAGGTGCCCTAAAGACCCTCAAACCGTCTCAAACCTATATGGTTGTGTCTTCCTTTAGGCGGCCCGCAAAATGGCGGGCTTCTTCTTGGTTTCCCGTTAAAAGCCGCTCCCTAAAAAGCTACCATCAAAAATCCGACACGCCACAATCATATGGTGCGTCTCAAAATCGGGGGAACCCCACCCCCCCCCCCCCCCCACAAACAAAGAGTGTCATAATTCCACAAACTGTTTGGTATCCTACAGGGGTGGTTCCACAGATTCGCCATATCCAAACTGTTTTCTAGAATGATGTTCAGCTTGTTGTTTCCCTACCGCGTCAACAACACACGTTTTCCGACGAGTGGACGAAAAAGCCGCCTCCTGCGCCAGCGCCACCGCGGCGCGCCAGGCGCGCGTCGCGCTCACGGCTTTGGCGCAGGCCGTGAAGCTGGCGGCAGTTGGCTCGGGGAAACAGTTGGAGGGAGTTTCTTCCAAAGGAATCCGAACGGAAGTCAAGAAAAACAAGAAGAACCTGGGATATTCTTGGTAACCTTGAAATAACCTGTTGATCCCTCTATTTTTGCTGGGATTCTGATAGATCATGAAATGGATGGAGACCTTAAGGAATTCCAACAGATGCAGCCCCATGTGCAAGGCCAAACGGGGAAGACCCGAAGGCTATAGAAAGGTTGTAGAAGTTTGGGCACTGGGAACTAAAGAAAACTAACCCATTGTTTTTCATATGACCTTCCAGCATGGAGCCACTTTCCTGTGACAACCGAGTCGCAAGCTGAGTGGACAATACAGCCCACACACAAATATCGGGCGAATCCTTTGCGCCAAATGGCATGGTGCCCTTGGATGGCTGGGGACAGGTCCTTGAAAGTCCGGGAACGTGGAGTCATCCCCCAACTCTCCAGTCCACCCATGAACAAGGGATTGGTTGCCCTGGCCGCAGCGCATGTATAGCGAAAGACGCCCATGCATGTCCGTCATCTTACAACGAAACTGTCAACTTTAATTACAATCATGCTCGTGGCCCCAGTCACCCTCATTTCATGAACTAAGGGTCATAAACATGTGTATTGGTCTATATATATATATATATATATATGGTTAGCATATCTATATATATATATATATATGGTGCCAATAGACATTGTTTCTTTCTCCTGCTTGCAGGTGGCGAAGCGTCTCGGCGAGAATTCTCCCCCCTGCCAAGCGAGCCGCGTGAGGGCGCTGGCTCGGAGCCGCCGCGCTCGGAAGAGGTCCAGCAAAGAGATGGCCTGGGCGAAATCGCCGGCGACTTTCGTCGGCCTAGCGCCCGAGTCGTAAGCCCAGGAGCCCAGTCATTTGAGGCGTCTGGGGGGTTCAAGGCCCTAGGGTCTTGGGCTCCGAAGGAAGAAATCGCCGCGTCAAGTGAGAGAGGTTTTGGAGGGAAGTCGTAGGGAATTCCTAGGGAATTCTTTAGGTAATTCCTAGGCGCTTTCAGGGAGAAGGGGTTTGGAGGAGAGGTTATGTACCACTTGTCTTCGTCCAAGTTCAGCCATACCCTGGGAGCCCAAAGACCCTAAATATGAGGGCCTAGAACCAGAGGCCTCAAATAATGAGGTCTTGGGATCCTAGGATAGTAAATACCTCCTGCTTTGAAGGCAAATGCCGAGAAATGGTGAACCCAGGTGAATCAACCCCGGCTTGAGCTTGATTGGAGAGGCATCCATTGAGGAAGGAATCTGGATCGTCTTCTTGGCAAACAACGTCCACCGCCCCGAATGAATTCAGGCTCACAAAAAATCCAAGACTCCGACACTACCAATGCGCGAAAAAACGCAAGGCCCGCATGGCCCATGCGATACGGCTGCAAGTCCTGGGAAAATGAGGTTGCCCAACTTCCGCAAATGCCTCTCTGCCCAACAAGTTGCGACTCGCTACCACAGCTCCTTTGGCGTGCACCGCTCGAATGAACTGCCGCTTGTTCCGACACAGCCCGCTGCAGCATCATGCTGCAGCAACTGGTGCGTCTTTCCTCCAAATGCCATGGTGGGGGTTGTTATAGCATCCTGCTGTACAGAGAAAGCAATCAAAGCCATTGTGGAGTAAAGTAAAAGGTAAGTGCAACAGGGCGCCAATAGCCTCACAACTGCTTGTCTGACAATAGGTCCTTCAAAATGTCTCTCCAAATTGTGCGACTCCCCAGCCCCCCGGCTACTGCCTGCGTCCACTCGTCCTTGCAGGCACGCATTGCTGCATGAAAGGCCTGGGTGGTGAGAGGCAATTGTCAAATTGGCGCTGCAACAAGATGACGTACATTATCTTACTAGAATATACCCTTACCCCTTAAAACTCCAAGCCCTGGGGAAGTTAATCTTTTACAGACATATAGCCCATGTTACCCAAAAAGTTGAAAAGTTGTGTTTTTAAGAGGTAGGTACCAGAACAACTTTGAAACACGGAACTCCTTTCAAAGCGAGCCCCGACATGCGAAGAATAAAACTGGCTGGGCTGACCATGACTACGGCTGGCTCCATTTGTCTACATTCTTTGAAAAGTTCCGAACCCCCTTAGCACATTGCACAATTTGTTCAATGATGTTCAAAGTGTTGGACCCTTCGGAAAACCAACCAAGTAATGTGTGTGTGTGTTTTCTCAATTAGTGGGTTCCCTTTCATCCAAACCCTATTCTGAGACCCCAGTGATCCAGCCACTCTCAGAGCGCAGCCATGCTGTCGGGCTCCAGCTCCAAGCCTCGGGCCGCCGTTGCGCAGGTGGACCATGATCAAAGTCACCCCCTAAAGGGAAACAACCCCATTTTCTGAATTTGATAACACCCAGAAACCGTCGAAATAATGACCCCAGAAACAGCTGGTAAAAAGCCTGGTGCTTTTGGTCTGTTTGCTGTTTCAGGCTGAGCTGTGTCGAGTTGCAGTTGTGAGCAGGGTTGGGGGAGGGGGGGGGGTGTGAGGGGGGGGGAAGTTATTGTCGCTATGAAAGGCTTGCACGCACACGAACACACACGCCAGTGCACACAAGTTGATGCATGACCAATGTTGGTTTCAGATGCTGGCAAAAAGCGCCTGGAGAGCACCATGTCCATCCCAACAAACAAGAATTTGCTAGAAGAGTCTCTGTGGGGACTCAATGTACTGACAAATGGTGGCAATCATTGCAAGACTATGTACCATCTCAGCTTCACTTTGATGTGTTTCGCTAAATGCATAACTCCGTTTGGAGGTATCAGCTTCCCGTTGAGAAGGGTTTCTGCCATGCGTTGGCTGCAGCTTGTTGATTCAGATGTTCGAGCAATCGAGCTGCAACTATGCAAAACAACGTGGGTTGTTTTGCCATATATGCATAAAAACAATGCTGTCCTGATTCTCCCGTTCACTGCCAAGCATGAGCCAAAGACGGCAAAATGCAAAGAAGCCAGGGGAACACACCTGTGACGCAGCTTTCGCTTCCAGGTGTTTTTAACAGCCTGTGACCTTTTTTGGATGGGTCTACAGGGAAGCTACAACCCATTCCATTTTTGAGAAACACCCACTTCTGTTGAGGAGCTGGTCTCTTCGCCTTTCGCTCCGTGTGCGGCTCTTCCCAGTCCAACTGTGCCCTTTGCTTCCCTACAAACACCGTCCTGGCAGTCCCAGTGGTTGCGACGACCTCCACGACAAGGACCATGACCACCACCACAGCCACCACAACGACGACGAGGGCGCAGACAGCTACAAAACCAAAACCAAAGACTGCCGTCGCTTGCTTGCTTGGGGGACACTTCCCCCATTCCAGGGTCCTTTCTTGACACTGTGGATGGACAAAATCCGTTCGCACCATGGTTGAAACCATTCTTGTTTGGTATTTGCAGGGGAATCGAATCAGACACCAGGGGCTTCTCAGGTGCAACATGGATTTGGTCCATCCACAGTAAACAATTGCCTGACACCCAGCTTGGCTCACTTCTCCAGGCATGGGGGTCAAGGCAGCCAAGGGGCGCAGAAGCTCGTCCAGCAAACCGAGCGCTTGCTGCCACTGTCCACTCCTCAGCTGAAAACTGAAGGAGTAAAGCAGCACATGTGCCCGCTCCGTGTGCTTACTCTGTGTGTGCTTGATTTTTGTTGAGTGTGCCTCTTTGAGGGCGGATGAAAGGGAAGCTAAAGGACAACCACACATTGTTGGGGTTCCGCTCTTCAAAGACGAACCCTGATCGGCATCCTGGCAAGTGCAAATCATGAACGGGGCTGAACAAAAGGGCGGCAACTGCGGCCACCAACTGATCGCCATCTTGCGGCATGCGACGGATCCCGGGGTTGTCCTTTGGGATCTGTTTTGTTTTCTTCGGAGAGCTTCTGGGAGGCCAACAAACATTCTCAAAAGGTGGTTTCTCCATGTACCCTTCACAACAGCCGGGTTGAAAAATCCAAACCCAAATAATTCAATCAAACTAAGGGTTGCCTACCCTTTTTGTCCAGCAAAAACCACTGGAGAATGCCCTGAGACGAATATGCTCTTTTCAGACTGGTGGTCCATGTTTTGCCAACAAACAGCAACATGATCTTCTTGTTGTGCAAAAAAATCAACTCGACTTGTTGCCCATGAGCCCGGCCCCGAATGAGATTGACCAACAAAACCAAATTCAAAAAACACATTCCTTTGCCCGTCCTCCCGCACCCCAGTTTTAATATCACCCCAGGTCCCCGTCAACCCCTCGCTCTGTCCCCTGGGGCCCCCGTCTCCAGACCCTTCAGGGCTGCGCTGTAGCTGTAGAGGTGCCGCTCCAAACTCTGCCCGTGCAGCGCCCGCAGAAAGCCTCCAACCCCGAGGCTTTCTTGGTACCCCACCACCAGCGATTCCATGGGTTTGTGCGCCAAACCCCCTGTAGAAAGACCGATTTTCCTCTCGGAAAGGGCCGTTTTGCGTTGATATTCGCAGGGGAATTATCATTCCAGGGTTTCTTTGGTACTGCAAAATTTCGTCCATCCACAGTAGGCGGTGACCGTTTCGTCGAAAAAACCATGTTTTTTATGTTTCTTTTTCTGGCAGACGGATGGCATAATTACCAATTTCTGAACCGGTGGAACCTGGCTCTTTCAAACCAAACCCAAACCGATCAAAACTTCCATTTGCTTAACCCCCCTGGAAAATTAAACATATGTCCAGTAGTGGTCGATTCCCTTAAAAAAAAAAAAAAAAAACTCTTAAACAAAACGAAGAAACGGACGCCTGTGAAGAATCCAGGTTCGAGGTGCCCCATGAGCCGACTCGTCCGTGAGTGTTTCCCCGTGAGTCATCCGGTGTGGCTTCGGAGATGTAGCCATAGCCAAGTCCCAGCCGTTGATTCACCATATCGCAAGAGAATCGGCCTTCAACCACAAAACCCCATGGAAAGTTCGCAGATACCACCAACCCCCCGTACTTTGGCGGTAAACTCAAGCATTCCCACTCAAGCATCGTGACCTATATACTCTATACACATGTATATTCAACCTACATTCAACCTTTCTTCCAAAAATCAACATCATGTTTATTTTCTTTTTTAAAGTCCCTATAATCATGGAAGGAGCGTTCACAACTCTCAAGACAACAGAACAAGCCAACACCTACGCAATATACAACAAAAACATCCACCTCCAACAACACAAAACCCCTAACACCCACCCAACCCTCAAAAAAAGAAGAAGAAGAAAAAAACACGTGAGCCCCAGCCCAGGTTGCTTGACAAGCGGCTGAGTCCTGCCTGCCAGCTCTGCCGACCTCAAAGGCTTCAGGCTGCAGTAGATACCATGGATGGTTGCGGCATCAAGAAATCGCACCACCTAAGAAGCCCCTGGTGCTGATTCGATTTCCCTGTAAATACCAAACAACAATGGCTTCAACCATGGTTTCAAAATCCAACCGACAATGGTCTATTCGATTTCCCATTCGATTCCCTGGTTTCAGCCACGGTTTCAAAGTGGTGCGACGTGGGTTTCGTCCATCCACAGTCTGGGTGTCTTTCGGGCGGCTCACTTCCGAAGGAGTGGACTGGCAAGAACGCCCCCAGTCGTAAGATGGTCCCAAAAAGTAAACCCGAAGACTCAGGGAGTGCGATGGGGGCCGGACCTTTTTCACCCTCTAAAGGGACGCCAAAACGAAAGCCGCCCCTTTTTAGTGCCCCAAAACGCCTAGAACAGAGACCGGGACTACTTTGGCGCGATGCGCATACCCATGTTCCATTGTCCTGCATGGAGAAAAAGAACTCCCTCCTCACCTGGCAGCTCTGTTCCGAACAGAGCTGAGACAAGCTGCCACAGACGCCACGCACTATTTTTTAGCGCTGACATCACGGCGTCAAATACCCCCCCAAGCTCCCAAGCGGGTTCTCTGAACGTCAATACCGGCCAGCTCCCCCGTCCGCTCCTTTTTGAAAGCCGGAAAGCGGGAACCGCGCCCAAAGCAAAATGCTCAGCTGAGGGTCCCAAAGAACCAGCCACAGGATTCCCAGCCCCTCTTACTTCCTTCCTTCCGGATCAAAAACGCGAATTGTGGGCGGCTGTCCCCACCCTGCGAACCCCCGCGCGTGGAGAACCCGTGTCCCAGGCGCCCAGTGCGCTGATCCTGGCGACGGCCAGGCGTGGCTGGGCTGCAAGCCGCCGCAGCTCCTGGCCCAGAAGTCACAAGCCACTTCCATAGATGGCTCGGCTCATTTTTAAGATCTAGGCCCTCAGATTTGAGAGGTTAGAATTTTTGGGTACCCGATTGTTTTCAGTTGTCTATTTTAGTAGGGGAACCCTCCCAACCAAAAAAGGGGTGAGAAAGGGCACTGCTGGGGGACCTAGAAGAGGAACCCACCAGAAATGGCGATCTTCGGATTCCTAGAAGAGGAAACCGCCGAATGGCGGTCTTTGGTGTTCCTGGCGGTTTCCCTTTAAGACCATCCAAAATGGGTAGCCTCGAAAAAGAGACAGCCGCCTGGTACAGGGGGCGGAGGGTGTGAGAAAAGCGTATGCCTTCTTGCAGCCTGGTGCCACCTTGTAGACGGGGGTATCAACAAGGCCCGGCTTTTTTGGGACAAACACGTGTCTCTTCTTCTGGGCAAATTACGGCCCGGCAAATTCCCCAGCCCAAAAACCCTTCATTTGAAGCACCTGAATTTTGGGCACTGGTGACGTGCCTGGTGGAGAGCGTTCCCCTTCAGACCTGGGTCCTGGTCGTTCAATATACACATGTTTAAACACCAGCTCGGTAACAATCTCCTTGTGGACCCCATCTTAAGCAGAAGGCTCTGGTTTGAACAAATCTCGCCCAACCCTGACCTCGTCCTTCGTTGACGAACATGCAGTTCCCGAATCGGAAGGGATCTGGGTGAGATGAACCAAACGCCCGGCTTTGCTCAGAATCCCGGTTTGGATGTGCCCTGCCTCTTCAACTTCAGGGGTCCAGGATTCACTTGGAGTACCAAACAGGAGAAGGAACAGTCGAACCCACAACAAGAGCATCCAAACCGTTCTCTAGAAAGGGCCAAGTGGCCCCTTGGGGAAAGAAACGTTCTTGTTGTGCTTGAATTTGAAGCTTCGAAACGAGTTAGAAACGGGAGAAAGAAGGGCTGCTTTGAATGACAGGCTGTTCAAGAAGCTCTCCCGGGAATCGATTGCCCAGACGTCACAAGCTACCGACCAGCCGGCGCCTCAGCATTCCAGGTCGTCGTCAGAAGGCCGCCCGTTTCGCCCATGGCGAAGATCGATCACACGGTTTTGGTCCTGCTTCATGGAAACCCCTTCACCATTGGTGGATCAAGAAATAGTATGGATTTTGTGTTAGGGTTGAGCTTACTACAAAAGCGGTCATCGCAAAGCGCACGCGGGTGGGTCCACGAACGAATTCGCGGGTGGGTCCTAGATCTAATTTTGAGAGACGCAGCTGCGGAGTCCGGGCATCGCTTCACTTGCTTCCTTGCCGGAGCCGCAGAGACTGGTGCCATTGTGGGCTCTTCAGCTATGGTCACCATGGGTCACATGCTCAGCAAGTTGCAACAAGTACTTCTTGCCTTGACTCAATTCCTGGTGGGCTGGCCACGGAACGTCCCCAAAAATGTGCGGTTTGCCACTAAACTACTCTTCCCAACAAGTTTAAAGTCCCTGAACTCAGAAAGCTCAAGATCTGACTACTGAAAAAATGCTCGAACGACTCCAAGGCACATGGGCAGATCTTGGAACCGCGGGTCTCACCCCTTGCGTGATGGATTTTTCGGACGGGGATGGGATTTCACGCGAAATTGTCCTTGCCGCACTGGTTTCCGGACGGTCCTGACCGTGGGGCAAAAAGCCAACCACCACTACACAGAGCTGACCTTTGGGAAGAATCAATGGCCCTGGCAAAGGGAACAAAACCGATCTAAACCAGGTGGAGAAAAAGGACACCTATGCCCCTACACCTAACAAACTCTTCCGAGGCCAAAAGCTTTGTCAATGGTCAACGGCTCCGTTGGTCAGACGCCTCTGACCTCGTCCAATTCAGCGATTCATTGTCCCTGGCCTGCTTGGAAGCTGCCAGCTGATGGTAAAATGTCGCAGACCCGGTTTCAGCAAGTGGCATATAGAAAAGCTTATAGGTTACCAAGGACGCACATCCCAGCTTCAGCCGAAGTACTTGGGGCCTCAGCTGGAAAGACGCCTAGCTCCTCGGATTTGGCTGCAATTGCCACAGTGAGCTTGACGTTGACCGAGTTGTTGCCAGCTGAGTCACAATCAAAACCTGGTACAAAAAATGGTCGACCCAGAACCATGTAAAGAATCAAGAAGGCGGCTACAACTATTTCTGGCTGGGATCGTCCCTTACTAACCTTCATCTACCCGGGTTTTAATTATAACTCAACTAACTTCAATACCAATTTGGCCATGGGTCAAAATCCCGTACCCCCAATGAACATCCCAATCCCCACCAAATTAGACTAAAATGGGTGGTGCATTTTGAATTTCGCATCCTTCAAAGGGACGCCAAAACTCCGGTACCCTCTCTCCGACTTTGCCACGGCACTTAACATACCTTCCAAAGGAAATTGATCTTCCAGGTACCACCCCACAGGTGCCTTCTGTTGGGAGGAAGGCTAATTTGGTCAATCAATGCCCATCCCAACTGGTATCATTATTTCACCATCATCAAAGTCACCCCCTAAGTGGTAGGTTAAAGGGCAAACAGCAACCCCATTTTCTGACCTTAACCCCCAGAAACAGTCAAAAAATAACTCGTGACAGCCCCAAGCCAGGAGCTGCTCCACGCGCTCCACGTGTCGCTGTGGCCCTGGCTTCCAGCAGCTGCTTCACCGAGCCCTGCTTCGGCACACGCGCACAGACCTGAGCCGATCCGCCAAAAAACACGCGGGCGCCTGGTACCAGTCGGATGCACAAAGGGGAGGTATCGAATTTGGAGAAATACCCCACAAAAATGCGATGTCTTTGTGGTTTCTCTCAAAATACCCCCAAAATGTGTGTTCCTTGGAAGTTTCCCTCTAGACACCTCTATCACAAGGCGTCAACGAAAGGAACCTGGAAACGGGGCGAAACGGGGCCCCGTTTTTTGCAACTTTTAGGCCGTCTGTATTCAAGATTCATCCAGAAAACTCATCTGCCGCTGTTTGCACAGGGAACCCGTGGGATAGTTCTCGTCAGCATTACTGCGGCTACCCAATTGAAGCACGCGGAAACCTGCGGAAACCTTAAGGCCTCACCTAGTTCCGCAGTAACTATGTAGGCGCAAAAGACCAGCACTCTCCTTGGCCATTTCCATTGAGGACTCGCCAAAAAAGAGAACAGGGCCTCATTGAACATAAATGCTGGTTCTTCAGGCTGTCCCATTTTGCCCCTGCGTTTCCGATGGCCCAGTTTTGGTTCATCACAATCAAAACCCGGTCTGAAAATGATCTACCCAGAACCATGCAAGGATTTTTTTCCAGGCGGATATCCGCACCCATGTATGGCTGGGACTGTCCCTTACCCTCCAATTTACCCCGGTTTTGAGCAAGTGGCTCATGTTCCTTGGGAATACTGGACCTCATGCCACCTTTATTTCTCCCTCAACATCTATTTCTCTCGCATTTCCTAGTTCTTGGGTGCGAGCGACCGGGTGTAAAATCCTTTAAACACAGTCCACGACCTAACTCCCAAAATCCACTTGAAAGGTCTGGTCAAAAGAGTTGGCCTGCGGCTTCGGCTCGGGATCCTCAATTCCCTGTTGCCCATATGGAGAGAACTGACGCAGTCAAAGCAAGCTGCTGACGGGTGACGGTTGCTCATGTTCTGTTAGCAAGCGGAAAGCGACCTAGATTTCAACCTATTTCTAAGTTGTTCAACTGGAGTAGCCAGCTTACAAGATCTTACAAGCAGGCCACAGGTCAATCACAACTTGGTTGAAGACCTTGGAAATCATTGAACATCGCAAGGCCAAAGTTGAAGCTGCTCATGCAGTTGTGTCTTCTGTGTCCGGATCTGACAATATCGACGATGTTACCTAGTCCCCCACACCCTTTTCGGGAAATCGGCGGAGCATTGGCTTTTACGTCATGCCCAAATCAACAACAAACTGCTGATGGTTCTTCTCGCGAGTGAGTGGGCAAACCCGAAGTTTCAAGTATAAACTCCAGCACTTCTTTTTGTGCATGCAAAAATTTGTCGGAACATTCTGGCCCAGAGCGTAACAACCGCAACCAATAGGGGCCTGCCTTTCTTTGGGGAACATCCAAAGCAGGTTTCCCCTTGCTTCCCCTTTTAGGCAAGCCCAAAAAGGGTACCAATTCCAACAAAGAAAGCACGCTCATCCTTCCAATCTTTACCCCAAGAAGCAACACATGCATTAAACATACAGTACGCCAGTCCCAAACAGCACGTCTAGCGTCTCGTCAAAAAAGTGCGTTCCTCCTGAGCTTTGCGCCCGGGTGGTGTGCTGTGCAGACTCAGAGCCTAGCGTCTCAAACTTGGATGCTCAACCAAAGTAGTCGTTTAGAACAAAGGTTCTAAGGGGACGATCACCCCAGTTGCACCAATCCTAACCATGGTTATAGCCTTGCCAAGTTGGTTGAACATAAGAAGGGAGGTGCGCAAAAAGTGTGGTGTTCCCTTTGGCTTCTCCCTCAAAACCACCAAAGAAAAGATACCCTCAGCAAAAGACCCTCCGCACACCCATATGAAGGTCCAGCAACTCTGGTTACAGGGGTTGCCTAACCTACCTGCTGTATGAACTCACTCAAAGGACTTTAGCAATTGGTTCAGGCCTTGGTTTGAGCAACCCTGAGCCCTGCTTCAATCATGAACAAATGTTCTTTTCTAAAGGGGACTCCCCAAAATGGTGGTTTCCCTATGGATTCCCCTTCAAACCAACCAAAAGGGAGGTTCCCTTAAAAAAAATGACACTCCCAAAGGATGTCTGCACATTTCGCTGTGCCAAAGCCTGATATATGAAAACAAATGCAAGCTACCCCGAAGGACTTTGGCACGCGGCTGGGCGTGGTGAACCATAAGTTGGACGAAGCAAAGGAAAAAGTGGGCGTGTCTCTTTTTGAGGCTACCACGTTTCCTTGATGGACTTAAAGGGAAAGCAACAAGAAAACCACCATGATGTGGGATGGGGCCCCCTAAAAAAAGACACGCCCAAATCAAACACCAAACCAACAAATAAACAGCAAGATGATGAAATCGATACATCAATCACGAACCTGCTAGTATCCCTCCGCTTTTACACCAGAAAAAAGTGCTTGATTCCCAACCATATTTAGCAAACCTTGAGATGCAAAATAATTTGCACATGTGAACATCTGCAGAATAGATCAACACAAACCAAGCAAACTAATACACCCGCATGGGCAATGCTGAGTCCTTGCACTGCCCGACAGGAGAGCTGTGGCGCAAGCTGCGGTTCCGGCAGGGAAGAACTGTCATACTTATCATAACTAGGCAGGGATGATCCCTGAGTTTCTATGATTTCTGGCATGGTGCATGAGGTTGGGCGATTCAACCCCTTGCTCAAACATGTTTAAAACACCATCCAGGCCCTCCAGTAGAGAGGTTAGAATGCGGGTACTTGTTTTTTTTTGTCTTTTTCTGTATAGGGGAACCCTCCCCCAACAAAAAAGGGTAAAAGGACACTACTGGGGGACCTAGCCATTGTTTGCAGAAACTGCTTTTGGTCTGCCACGTCTAGGCAATGGCCGCGCCAAAGCCTGGAGCTGAGGACGTGCCCCGGAACATGCCCCATGCATGCCCGAAACCCGGTTTTGAAACCTACTTCGGAGTCGTGCTGGAATATCCTGGAGCCAATTTCTGGGCGACCCCGTAGCTTTCAACTGGGGGAAAAAGTTAAAAAGACCATTTGATTCAGGTTGCTCAAGCAAACCAGCCAAAAAAGGTTGCCTGGACGCGATTTGTCCTCTGATTGGAAGGTATCGCTTTGGAACAGGTGGCATCTCCAACAGCCCCGGAACCCCCTACAACCCTCCAGAACCCTCCCCAGAGCCTACCTGGGCAGAGACCCCATAGCTTCCAGCTGTTGGAGAATATTGTTTCGCAAAACGAGTGGTTGGCAAATCTGATCCACGAAATTGTAGGCTTGTCAAGGGCATCTTTAAAGCAAACAAGTGAATTGAGTCATGTCCCTTTGGCTGGGGTGATGTTTTGTGGCAAGATATGTGGAACCCAGTAAAACTCAAAAACTGTAATTATATGCTTCTCAACATGGACCCCCTTTGGTTGGAATTTAACAGG